ATAATAGGGCCTGCGGATAGATGGAGTGATAGCTGAGGTTATCAGTCTGCTGCTCCACATTTAGATGTACAGTCCCAAAATCGGGGTGCGAAGGAGAACTATAAGTGAAACTGCAGCAGAGAAAGGTCAGGTCCCCTTACCCTGTGTTATGCTGTGTAGCTGAGCTTTGTAAATGTAAGGCCTGGATGGACCAAAATTCAATTTCTTTTATATATTTATTTAATCTATGTATTTCAGCTTTTGTTCATGCACAGTATATCAGCAAGCAAACATGCCGCATTCAATCATTCTTCCAGCGGTAACATTCTTTAATGGGGATCCAGACATCATGAATGGACTTGGAATTTCTGGTTCTGCACCTCTGGGTGAGAGAGAACAGACTGAGCAAGCTATAGGAGTTAGAAGATGACATTTAAACATATTGTGATGCTCGCAGGGAAATAAAAAGCTGTTTGTTCAGCAGTATGAGAGGGAAGATCATTATTAAAATGAACTCATTAAAACTGGAGAGGAGACAAGCTGATCTTGTAACACAGTGGCTGGAATACTGCTGTGCCCGGGTGCTTTTTGACATTTTGCCTTCCTATTCCACGGATACATTTATGCAATATTAATAGGAGGGTTGAAGTATAGAACCTCGCAGGGTGCAATGTCCAGCGGTTTTTAAATATCATGCAAAGCCGATTACAGGGGACAATGAGTAAGCTCTGTCTGTTTAAAAAAGAACTCTGGGCAAAGTTTGTATTATCCCTTGTAGTGGGGATACCCCCCGCTCTCCAAGGGTTAACTGCTCCTTTTGGGCCAGGGAGGAAAGTAACAAAGTAATAATCACCCGATCCTTGGAGACGACCGGCTGTGCCAGCGCTCTCTCCTGCCTGTCCTGTGTTATAGAACATGATGGCTCAGGGACCTTAGACCGCTGCAGCGGAGGGCCCATACAGATTGTTGTTCTTGTGTATTGCGCTAATGTACGTAGGCTGTGGCATGTCCCTCTGCGTCCTCATGTCTAAGGCAAGTCAATGGACCTGTATGGACATTAGGGATGCAGATGCCGAGTATTTGGTCCAGTACTCGTATTCGCATAAATGCTCCAATGCCTAGCCCGATTCTTCCGGTATCAGGAAGCCGGCTCCATGCTCTCTCATCACTTGTGACGAGAGAGCATGGAGCCAGCTTCCTGATTGGTCGGAAGGTGGCCAATCAGGAAGCCAGGCGCCGCGTCATTACACAGCTCCTGGCTTCCTGATTGGCCAGAAAGCCGGCTCCATGCTTTCTCGTCACCCAGTGGCAAGCCCCAGCAAATACTTTCCTGTTATACAGGTGAAACTCAAATAATTAGAATATCGTGCAAAAGTAATTGCAGTAAGTGCTGCAAAAGGGGCCCAAACCAAGTACTGAGTACATATGCATGCTTGTACTTTTCAGAGGTCCGATATTGTTCTATGTACCATCCTTGTTTTATTGATTGCATGAAATAATATCCTTTTTTGAGGTTGTGGATTTGGGGTTCTTGGGGTTTTCATGAGCTGTAAGCCATAATCATCACAATTATGACAAATCACGGCTTGAACTATCTTGCTTTGCATGTAATGAGTCTATCTCATATATTAGTTTCACCTTTTAAGTTGCATTAGTGAAATAAATGAACTTTGCACGATATTCTAATTATTCGAGTTTCACCTGTAACATCAGCATTGTAATAGGAATACACATTAGAGTTGTTTTTGATAATACAATTGAACAAACAAAATCCCTTTTATGAAGTGAGTGCTGCCTTCTGTCTGCCCTTCACTTTCACTCATTTTCTGGATTCCCAGTGTGCTTTGCATCTCTTTCCCTGCTGCTTCATGTGATGTAATCTCCATTCCTCAAGACTACATAACCTATCATGCTTTGCTTCCAGCAAGCAATGATAATCTTACATTGTTCAGATGTTGAGTTGTAGTTCACTTACAGTCATCATGTTTCCAAACAGCTCCAACACTCTCAGCTCTGCTTCCCTGAACTCCCTGTCCAGTACAAGATCACAAGAGACAGAGCAGTCTCCAGCAACTGTCCATCTACTAGCTTGGAGAAGAAAGGAAGAGCAGGGAGCAGAGGAGTGTTTTGCTTGCTGTGTCTGTGTGTTTGTAGAGACACACACAGCTTTCTATAGCACACACAAGGGTGACTCCATAGGACCCTACAAAGTGAAAGGAGCCCTAACCCTAACACAGGATATCAGGGCCAGTGCTCAGGGGACCAGCTGATTCTGCAGGAAGCCAAAACTTTTAAACATCAAGAAGCAGCATCCATTGTAAGTGATTTCATCAGCATCTTAAAAACATTTTGACTTTGATATTAAGTTACTTAGAAACATGCCATGTGTTCCTGGCAACGTGAAGCTGGATAGAGCCTGGGATGGCAGGACTGACCAACATTAGGTGTGATTATACAGTAAATCATTGCAGAGGTGGGTGTTGCATTGTTTTCTGGATGGCATTAGCAACACACTGATTTATTTTACTTGTT